TCTGACAAAGGACCCGATCCGGAATGTCACAGGGACGCCTGGAAGTCGGCCATCCTCAGCGTCCGGAGGACCTACACGTGCCTCGGGGGTGCGGTGGCCTTCGGAGGATGAAGCAGCACTGTGACTCTCCAGGAGAAACGGGCGACGACTTCAGTCACCACGTGCCCCAGTTAGCTTCCGCCTGTAGCAGCTGAACTGGCTGGGCACAGAGGGCCTTCTCTCTTCCTCGGTCTCCTTCATGGACACTGACGAGGGCAGGAGGGGTGACGGGCGGTGGAAGAGCCATCGGGTGGGCGGATGTACTTACCGCCTCCAGTATCCCACTGGGGTCCCTGCAGCTCTTGCCCAAGCTGTCCTCTCACCCACGACCACCGTTCTCTCTCCCCTGGTGTCCACCCTCCACTTCATCCCCTTCCCATCCCCAAGTCACCTTGTCTGGGGACCTGCGCGGTGTCCTCCAGGGCGTGGCGGCCTCGCCTCTCCTAGAGCGCCCCGAGTTAGACGGCGCATCCTCAGCTAGCGGACCGTCAGCAGCTTCAGCAAATACCCGCTGCCCCATCTTCACGGCTGCGCAAAACGCTTTATACACCCAGGCTAGTTCATTTGTCCACGCAGCTGCCTTAATGACAGGTGTGGTCGCCGGGGAAACTGAGGCCCAAGCGCGAAGTTGCTTCCTCCTCTCTGACCGCCAGAGGAATGAGGAGGAGACCGCGTCCCTGTGCCGTCTGCTGTCCCCGCGCCGTCTGCTGTCCCTGCGCTGTCTGCTGTCCCCGCGCAGCGCCACCCGCCCTAAGCTGGTGGTGGCTGCTCTGCAAACCGGCCTCTCCCCTGGGGCTGATGCTCACCACGCCCTGGTTTCTCTATGAACCGCTCTTCCCGGGCAGGGGCCCTGGACCTCCCTCTGCCGCGTGAGACCGGCCTCTCCTCCGCCCTGGCGCGGACTTTTCTGAGCACACGTTTCAGCTCGATTTCAAGAGGACAGAGGGGGCTTCTGGCTACTAATTTGCTTCCTAAACCCCTCAAGGGCTCCTGGCCCCCCGGATCCCGGCCAGCTGCTGCACCTCGACAGGCTTCTGCTCCTGGTGCTCACCGTGCGGCCCTGGGTGAGGGCCCGTGGCCGCCCCCCCCCCCCCCCCCCCCCCCGTGGCAGAGTGCGCCTCGGGAGGGACAGTCTCGCTGGAGGACGCAGAGCCAGGTGGTGGCTTCTTTTGGGGGTAGCCTTTCGCGCTTTGAGGACCTAAGCATTTCCAAATTGCTTTGACATTTCTTTTTCTTTTTCTTTTATCCTCACCCGAGGACATTTTTTCATTTTTTATTCAGGTAGAGTGGGAGGGAGAGAGAGGAACAGAGAGAGAGAGAGAAACATCGACGTGAAAGGGACACATCGAGTGGCTGCCACCCGCACGACCAACCAGGGCCGGGGACAAACTGCAACAGAGGTCCGCGCCCTTAGTGGGAACCGAACCCGGGTCTCTCTGGACCGCAGGCCGACGCTCTAACCGCTGAGCCAAACCGGCCAGGGCTGCTTTGACATTTCAAAGGTTTCTTCGTGGGTGAAGGTACTAAATGGCAAAGGGTATAATTATGAGTTCATATAGATTTTTAACACCTTTTTTTTTTTCTCAGTTTCAAAATACGTGGGCAGTTTCAGAACACAAAGCTGCATCTCACTTGGGGGCTGGGGGCTGCTGCTCCCCCATCCAGGACAGAGCCTGGGGAAGGGCCCGTGGGCCTCGGGCATCAGCACGGCTGAGACGGCCTGCCCCGCCGCCCTGTGTCCGCCCCTACACTCCCACGCAAAGGCCTGCTCCTGGTACTTCACAGTGTGACCTTGTTTGGAGACCGGGTTTTTACAGAGGCCATTAGAGGGGACCCTGATCCAATGCGACGGGTCCTTAGAAGAAGAAGAGACTGAACACAGACACAGGGAAGGCCAGGCGAGGGAACGAGGAGCAGACGGCCAACGACAAGCTGCGGGAAGAGGCGCTTGCAGAAGCCACCTCTCAACACCCAGCAGTCTGCAGCGTGATGCAGCCGGTCGCGCTCTAACGGGACAGCTGGCCTCTGGGACCACGAGACGACGCGTTTCTCTCGTTGCAGCCGCTGGCCTGGGGTCCCCCGTGAAGGAAGCCCTAGCAAAGCGACACGGGTCCCACGGTGCACCGTCCCCGGATCCTTCTGCGCCTTCCTGTGATGTGTGCGTCTTCGGCGGAGCCCGAGCCTGTGTCAGTGCCTCTCTGCGAGCAGAGGCAGGCGGACCTTCGCAAGCCCACCGCAGGCTGCGCCTCCCAGGCGTCCTGCGCTCCCTCCGCGGGCGGGCGGCGTGGGGCAGACGCAGCCAGACTGTCGCGTGTGGTTCTAGGAACTCGGCGGCACATTAGTGTTCAGGCTTCCACAGACCACTAAGCCACTTCTAAGAGCAAGGCTACCTGAGGCATTCTGCGAAACTGCGTCGACGCACCGTCTCCCTCCCCACGCCCGCCGCAGTCTCTGGGGCGACGCGTGGCACCTTGCAAGGGAGCAAGGTCGGGGTTCTGCAAGAATCTCGCCTGGTGAGGCCTGCAGGGCGATCCCAGGGAGTTTGATTTCCTCTGGCCTTTGGCCTCAGCGAATGAAGAGAGGACCTGGCGCGGTGTGCGCTGTGGTCGACCACACTCACTCTGCACGCCAGGTGCCCTCACTGTCACAGAAGGCACAGTGTTGGGCCCGTGCCTCTCCTTCCCCCAGTTCGCACGTGGGTATCTCGCCAGAAGGGAGGTACGGGTTTCCTTTGGGGAGAATTGCATGGATCGGTGAAGCACCATCCCAGGGGGAAGGCAAGGTGTCTTCCCCTCTGGCTCCTGGCTGCAGCTGGGAGGGAGCACATGCCATCCATTATAGGCAGCGGGAAAGGACACAGACCGGGGCACTGCTGGTGGCGGGGCTGTGACCTGGGGCTGCAGCCTCGGGCACCAAGGCAGTGGCCAAAGGGTACCAAAAGCATTGACATTTGTCACCTCTCCAGCTCAAGCGAGTGGTGCTAACCGAGACGAGGGAAACCATCTTGTTGATGCATCACCTTGATCAGCTTATCAGGGAAATTGCCAAGACTGCACTTTTGTTCTCTGAAATTAAAGCTCAATGGGATAGTACTGAGTGAGAGATCAAAAGACCGCTGGGTCCCTTTTCTGAGAGCGAAGGAAGCCCCTTTTCTGGTGAGCCCTTCTGAATCTTGGTGGGGGTCCTAGGCTCTCCCCCCGGCCCCCTGGAAAGCTCACTGTCCCTAGTGGCCAGCCTGGGTGGGCCGGTGACCGTTCCCTGGGTGCAGGACTGTGGGGCTGTGGTAGGGGCCAGCCCCCCCTCGTTCCTGGTGTCTGTGTGGGTCACTGACCCCCTTGTTATCTATACAACTGCGGCCCAGTAGGGGCACAGGCCGCCGGCACCCCGCTCCGAAACCCAAGCTGCCGCCCGGGAGATGTGTAGTTTCCTGACTCCGCCCTCCCGAGCGGACAGAGGAGGAAGCGATGCTGGCGGGAGGGTGCTGAAAGCCAGGAGAGGCTGGAGACCTTCTCGCTGTTAGGCTACAGATATTGCCTCCCCGGCTTTGTTGGCGGCGGAGGACATGCAGCAGGGGGCGGGCATTTCGCAGCTTCTCACCAGCCGCCGTGTCGGAGTGACTCACACGGCGCATGATTCAACTTCACTACAATGTCCTCCGCTGCCAGGAAAGGCATTGAAAACCCTTTAATTTGAAGCTTTGACTCAGTTAATGACTTGCTTTCTTCCCCTCCTCCGGAGATCCTCCCCACATCAGCCCCGTCACACATGCACACGCGCGTGCACACGCCCCCCCTCGTCGTCGAGTGTTTGAATCTCAGGGACCCAGAGACACAGACACCGTCCTGTTTGCTGTGACAGAGGGCCCAGCGGCCCTCGGGGTCCCCGGCTCTCTTGGCTGTATGAATAAGTAATGAATCACAGATACGACTTTGGTGCCGAGAGAGCTTGTTGCCAGAGAATGAATTGCCCCCACCCATCCCCGTCCACCCGGCTCTGCCAACCCACCAGGCACACTTGGCAGGCGCTGGCCCGAGCTCGCACCCAGCTCTGCAGTGACTCTGTGACAGTGCCATGGTTTCTGTGGGTCTGAGCACAGTCCTCTCTCCCCAGCAAAGACACAGCAAATGAGCCCACACACACAGACTTGCACACTCCCAGCTCACCTCTGCTCTGCACACAAAAGGCCAGAGCCAGGACACACACAGGCTCTCCACACCGGCTGTCCTGCCAGGAAGCCTGCAGTCCCGTGGCTTCAGGGAGACAGCACTCGATTTAGGAAACTTCTTTATTGCTCTTTTTGAGAGAGACTGTGCGTGACAAGTCGCTTCCTCTCTCTCTTGAAAGACACCGGCTGCCTAGGCACTGGGGCCGCAAGCAACAACAGCTCAGCAGCACCTCAGCCCGGGCCCTCGCCCTACACTAATCGGTCTGCTCTGCTCTCTGCCTCCTGGGCACACAGCGCGGCCGCTCTGCCCCTGTGAAGCCCCGGCAGGTCCAGTGCCCATCTAGGAGCCTACTCTCCCTCTGTCCTTGCTGGCCCGGCCTCCTGGATGGCTGTGCGCACGGCCCTGAACCCCGGCCAGGCTGAGCACGGGCCAGAGAGCGAGCCGAGTTCCGGATACCTCGGCTGCTGTCACTCCAGGCGAGGGACAGCACAGTACAACTCAGGGGGCTTCACCCGAGCTTCACACCATGCAGGACTTTAACCAGGAGCAGCCCCACGTCTCGCACTTGCCCAAGTTCCCAGGCACCGAGCGACACTTGCACAGCTGAACTGTTTGCTCAGACATTTCTGTGGAGCCACCATTTGATGAATAAGTAATCCAATAGCCTTGTAATCATAAGCCTGAGTTTGAATTCCTCCCACCGAGCAGACGGGGAACCGGCCAGCTCTCTGCGACGCGGTGCCACATCCTCTGCAGAGCTGAGCAGAAGTCGATCTGAGACCAGCATGTACTCACCTCTCATGAAGCACTGTGGGTACGAAGGGAATGACTCGAATATGCTGTCTGAAGCCATGGCCGCCTCCCGAAAGTGCACCCTCTTCTGAAGGCGGAGGAGTCAATGGTTTCTTCTCACCTTAGGAGCAAAACCAGGAAAGGTCATTGTTTGCACCTCACCCCCAGCCATGGCTCCCTACATCTCTCTCTCTCTTTTTTTTTTCCCCCTCTCAACACCTCTGGGGCTCCCTGAGCCCTATGAAAAATGTACCTTTGCGAAACAAATATTCAAATTGTTAGAGATTAAAAAAAAAAAAAAAAACAAGCGGCGTCTTGGCTGTGGGTTGGTGATGCTCACCACTCTGCGAAACCTGTGGTTACAGCCTGTGCGATCCGCCTCCTGCTGACCACTGTGCCGGCTCAGACTTCTGACACGACCAGCTACCCAACTTGTGGTTCTGTGGTTGTTTATGGGGCCCAAAGAAGTTTTCACACAACCCAAATTACAAATTTAACTGTTCCCCTTTCCACAGTGCCTCTTAATTGGTTCTGGCCCATCATGTGACTTCAGTGATGTCAATTTTTTTTTTTTTTTACACTCTCTGAGCAATGCCCTTCCTCCCTTCCACCTGCCCCCCCCCCCCCCCCCCCCCCCCCCCGCCCCGGCTCTGCAAGGAAGCAGCCCCGTAGACTTTGCAAGACAGTGGCGGGAGCAGAAAGTGACTCAGTCTCTTATTATATCAGTGGTCTCTGCTGATTCGGTGCCGTGCGGGCCCTGTTGTTGTTTGTGGTTTGGGAAGGACTGATGATTTTGATTACGATTTCACTGCTGCTCATTCAATAGTGATTCTGCCTGGGCATCAGGCAGGCTGCCGCTCAGACAGGATGTGGGTGCCATCATGGAAGGTGCTGGGCAGCAGCTCAGGAGGGCTCAGCCCTCGGCAGAGCTGTGTTGGCGTAAGTGAAACTGTAAAAGGGGGAAAATAAAAGGAAATATTTCCCTGAGAGTCTGACCCCTACGAGGCTCTAGCTCCTCACCGGTGTGTTAGAGCCTAAGAGAGGGAAAGCATTTTAAACTGGTGATGAAAACACCATGTTCATACAAAAAAAGTTATTTGGTTTTATTCCTCCTAAATGGACATTTTTTTTCAGCCAAGAGATAGAATCATAGCTCTCTCCCCACACACACACACACACACACACACACACACACACGGAAGCCAAAGGCATAGAGAGAGAAGAGAAGTTTTGCATTTGGGGCGAAAGCAGCGGTGCCCTGTAAATCTGGTTTTTGCTTTCACCTGTGAAAGTTCGCCGCGTGGCCTTGCTCCGTTCGATGAATCGACAGGCGCATTCACACCTGTCGGCGCACCAGCCCAAGCTACCACCACCACGCGCGGAGAGCATGAGGGGGCCCATGCTCAATAGGGGACCACATGAGAGGCTCCCCGGGGCAAACCCTTCCTGCGGCACTGGCTGAGGGGTGCTCTAGAGCTCGTCCCCGGCCGTAGGACCAGGACATGCCTGGCTGGAGGTGCTAAAACAGGAGAGTTTTGCATCTGGGCACGCCATTCTGGGCACATCCATTTCTTTCTGTTTCCTGCTTACGAATAAAGTATTGGTGCTTTTTTTTTTTGAGTTCCAAGAGCAAGTAAAACTCTCCCTTTCCAATGAACCCCTTGGCTTCGCCAGGCTCTGTTGGCCTCCCCCAAGTCACTGTGGAGGCAGAAAGTTGCCACACACACACTCCAGAGACTCTGTGGGACAGCAGGTCCCAGAAAACCAGCCCTGCCCGGCCAGCTGGTCCCCGGTGACCAGCCCTCGGGGACAGCTGGCCAGAACTCCCCTGGCTCGGGTTCTGTGTTCCGCTTTGCCCACACCCACAGCTACAACTCGTTCAAGGGCAAACGGCACAGGCGTTTTCAAAGGCACAGACATGACTGCTCCTCGCGCCTGTTCTGACTAACGCAGGAATTGAAACTCCAGTCTGCTCTCCCCCAGACTTGTGCAAAGCGAACTTGCCAAATGTTGACACTCATTCATATTGACAAGAACAAGCATGTGTGTGTGTGTGTGTTTCATGAAGTTTATTAACATCCGAACGCCACGCGTGCTTCATGTCACTCTCAGGGCTAACCCCCTGTGGTGGTCCTGTGCTCCCCCAGAAAGCCAAGTCCAGGTGCCCCCGCAGTGTGTTCCCTCCCTTCTGCTCTAATTCTTCCCGGGAGGGTCCTGGGAGCTGGGCAGTGTGACAAGCGGCTGCCCCTCTGGACTCGGCTCAGACTTAATAATGACTGAGAAATGCAAGTGGCAAAGAGGGTCATGCCTTTCGATGTTTCATCCTAGAAACCCCCGGGTGCTTTCGGCCCTGGGCGCCCAGATGCTCGAGGCGGGGTTCGGGTGTGTCCGCCAACTGCCGGGATCCTCGGCTTCTCTCTGCAGGCTCAGCTGCAGCCAAGTTTGCACTTTCCCCAGTGGGACCCTCGCAGGGCCCGTCAAGTTTAAGGAGGACTGGGGGTAAGGCTGGGGTTTGCTGAGGCCTCACCTGACACTGGAGTCGTTTGTAACCGGCAGGGCTGGGGTTTCGGCGGGGCACCAGGGGGCGGAGTGTGCAGGCCGGCAGCCGGCGGCTGCTGCCTTCCTCCGGCTGATCGGCCCGGCAGGCACAGCAGAACTCCACAGCTGGGGAGGCGACAGTTGAACCCTTTCTGGGCATCCTCCCAGTCATGACAGAAAGTAAAGAAAGACCCGGTCGGTTGCTGGTGAGCTTGGCCTCACCACTTCCTTAGGAGCCCAAGATGAAAGGAGCCGTGTGTCATCAGTGAGCCGCCTAGAGGACCACTCCGGGCTGGCGGAGCTGGGGCCGGCTGGGATTCTTCCCGCTAGTGCGGTGACCCACACCCTCTGCCCCCCTTCCTGCCCAGGCTCAGCCCGGCCGCTGCCTCGGGAGCTGCACTGTGGCTCTGGGAAGTCATTGGATGGCAGTGTTCACCCTCCCTCAGATTGGCTGCAGCTTCCACATGTCACTGTGGGGGGTGCTCAGGTGTCATTTTTAATGGCTCCATAAAAATACCAGCAAAGGTGGAAAGACGCACGGTTGCATCACCCTGTAATTAATGTGCAGACTTCTGTGTGCGGCCCGATGAAAACATGGTCCTGCTGGGCATCTTTGCGCCCCGGTTCTTGTACATGTTTCTGAGCGTGTGGATTGCAGAGAATCTGGCCAGAAACTGGACCCCAACGAGGTTCCCCCCAAACACTGGCGTGGTCTAAAATCCCAGGAGGACAATGCTGCTGAATTCTCTCTCCATAGCCCATGTTTTTATTATTATTATTTATTTTTAATCCTTACCTGAGGACATTTTTTCATTTTTTGTTCAGATAGAGTGGGGGAGAGAGAGAGAGAGGGAAACATCGATGTGAAGGGACACATCGAGTGGCTGCCACCCGCACGACCCAACCAAGGCCGGGGACAAACTGCAACTGAGGCACGTGCCCTTAGCGGGAACCGAACCCGGGGTCCCTCTGGACCGCAGGCCGGCGCTCTAACCGCTGAGCCAAACCCGCCAGGGCCATGTTTTCATTCTTTTCCAAATCTTTGTATTCCCACAGAGGCGCGACCTGGAAACAAACGTCTGTGTCACGCCGACAGTGACCTCAGTGAGGATTCCTACTCTGAGACGTGGATGTCAGGGCTTCACCCAAAGACTATGACCTGATCTTGGTTTGAAACACAGGAGCGCTGCAGGCCCTGCTGCTGAAGGCGTCCTTCCCGGAGCCTCACGCGGCGTCCACAGCGGCGCAGGTCCGGCGCTCCAGGCAGACGTACAAGTCACGTCTAAGTCACCACAACGATTTAGTGATAGCCAGACCAGAGACCCAGCATGTCGTTCTTAACCTCCCCACACAGAGATGCATTGCTCTGGGGGGGAAAGGACCAAGAAAAAAAGAAAAAAGCACCTTGTCAAATGGAGGATGTCCAACGATATGAAAACCTATCAGATGGTCAGTTTCAGACATGAGGGTTTACACTGCTTCGCCGCTCAAAGGGTGGCCCGTGGGCCCGCAGCGTGGGTGGGGTCACACGGGGATCAGCATCCCGGGCTCTCCCAGAGCTCCCGATCAGGACCCCAGGTGACTCCTACGCTGACCAGTCGGAGAGGCATTGCTGCAGGGAAGGGAGCTTTGCACACGCCGCAACACGCGGTGATAATTCCCTACACCCTCAAGATCGCTTTTGGACTTAGAGCTTTCTGAAGGGCCTCGCTTTTCGACCTTGTTGCCTCAGCATGATTTTTTTGAAGCTTTATTTTCACTGTTGACACTAGTGCGGATTTTGGCACGATTTCGTGAGCCCTGGATGTTTCTAGACGGCAGAAACCCACAAGAGGTGGCTTTTCGCGGGCAGTCACTCAGCACTCTCGTCTCGCGCTCTGGGTTTGGGTCAAGTGTGCAGTCTGAGGTTTGCCACACCTCGGAGGGAGGCTCCGCTGTGCCCCGTCTACCGAGCTGCTGGCCACATGGATATAAACAGAAGGCGTTTTCCCGCAAGGGCATCAGATTCTCAGCTTTCACCCAGTTCGCATGTGGAAACACATCGTCCTGTGAGTTCTGCCAGACGCACACCAGTGTTCCCAGCAGCCCCGCCGTGGGCCGTCCTGCCCCTGCGTTACCTGCCTCACCTGCCTCCCTCTCCGGCTACCACCTTGCAGACACCGTGCCCCGTGCTCGGCCTGGGAAGAAGGCGCCCGGCCTTACCTGTCCACACTTGTAAAAGCCGAGCCTTCCGGAGTCCTGGCCCCGTTCACCCAGGACCCAGGAGTCTGGCTGATTCGAGCACAGGCATCTGGATCCCTTCAGCCTGCGCTGGGCCAGGAATCTGGTTTGGAACAGCTCCTCCAACAGAATTTTGGCTCTTCTGGTGCTGGTGCCATTTGAAACCAGGAGGGCAAAACCGAGAAGCTTAAACAAACTCTCTTTGAATGTTAGAGATGTTTAGCATTCGAGGTTGGGTCAGATGATGGAAAACATTTCGAGTTGGTACCGCACTTTCCAGCCTGTTCCTCCAACCTTGAGGCTAATTTTAGCAGGACAGCCAGGCAGGGAACGCCGGGGACGTGAGGAGACTGAAATGACTCGGGGCTGGAGGAGCGGGTTCGTGTTGGGTAGATTGTGAGATTCAGCAATGCAGCGTGTAGTGAGTGTTCTCAGTCTGAGCGAAGCAGTCGGCTGCAGGGACTTTGGACTTTGGTTGTCCTTGCTGCTCGCTTTCCTGGTGGTAGGCAAATTCAGAAGCGTCCTCGTGGCTGATTATAACCCCAAGCATAATACCACCCTTTCCACAGAGGATCAGTGCTTTTCGGACTATGCAAAGTGGTTTTGAATGGAATCAAAAAGAGAACGGTGGCTGATGTTTCAACAGGCAAACTCGCACGGTGAGAATTTTAATACTCGCCCTCGCCAGGGATCATGAACACACAACGTCGG